CATTCCCGCGGGGGAGACACCACCAACACGAAAGCAACATGTAACAGAACATCGGATGGCCACCGGGGCAAGCAGGAAAATAAGCAGGCCCCCGGCGCTATGTGGGATGGGAGCCAGGAAGGTCCCTCTGGGTGCTGGGCAGGTTGAGCCTCTGTAGGCCTGAGACCCTCCCTCACAATCTCCCTCCCCCAGACGGTCTCCCCGCCAGGAATCCCCCAACACCTGACCTCAGGCAGACACCCCCAGAGGCCCCCACCCAGGTGGGCCTCCACTCCAGTCCAGTCCCAGTCCTCCTCCACCCTTGTTCTGGCCACACTCTCCTCCCAGGCCAAGGCTCTGCTGAACGGGCAGCCTGTGCCGGAGCCTGAGAATCCTCTAGCGCTGCCGAGTCCCAGCCCGGGGATGCTCCTGCACCTCCTGACCCACGCAACTTCTCCATCTCTACGACGGAAGAACAGCTTCTGAATGACCGCTCTCCCAATTCAGACCTGCCAACTCCTCCCTCGCCCTTGGCCTTGGGGTCACGTCACCAGCAAGCCCCAGAAAGGACTCCTCCATGACCCTGCCCACTAGGTCCACAGCGCAAATGACAGCCTCTGTGCTTTCCCAAGGCTTACCGACCAACTCCAACAAGTCTCCCGCCCCTCCTCCGAGACCGACCCTTGCCACCCCTCTCTAAACTCCCAGGAATGAGGGACTCCCCCAGCCTGTGAGCTGTCGCCACCTCCACCCTTACCCAGGGCAGACCAATGAGCAACCATCCTCTCAACTCCTCCCAGCCAGACTCTGACGGACCCTCTTTCTTGACATTCTTCCCTCCCCTCAAACTCCTTCACTGCCTCTCCGAGACTGCCCATGAAAAAACCCCAAACAAAAACACAAATCTGCTTGGATCACAGCAGATACTATTTGTGCGGCAGGAACTTACAAGGACTATTTAATCCTAGCCCACAGTAGAAATTAGCACTTCCATTTGCAGAGAAAGAAACAGGAGGCTCAGAGAGGAAAAACAGCTTACTCAAAGCCAAACAGCTGGTTACACACAGCTGTTCCTCTTCTGGGAACCTGCAGATCAGAAACTGTCCCCCACCCCCACCCCGCTAACTCGCCCACTGCCTCCATCACGACCCTCCAGCCCACAATCTCACCATCTTCCCTGCCCCTTGCCCCGTGGCCCACAAACCAACCACCATCTCTGCCCCTCTCCTGGGAGCTTGCGAAAGCAGAAACATCAGGCCCCAGTCCCATGAGCCAACTCCTCTAGACTGGCCCCAAAAATGACCAACATCACCTAACATCACCCCTAAAACGACCAAGGAAACTGCATCTTCATCAAGGCTCGTCCTGGCCAATCACCTTTCAGACAAAATCTTTTTCAGTCCTCTCTTAAACCCATGGCATGGGTATTATCACCCACTCCACAGATGGGAAAACTGAGGCTCAGAGGAGTTAGGTAACCAGCCTGCGGTCATGAAGTGGGTAAACGGGAGTCAGGATTTGAACTGGAGCCTCTGCTCTTCACCACCCTGCTCTGCCTCTCCACGTCTTTCCCCCTTCCTGCTCTGAACTCCATGGACTGGATACCGCGCTATAGCCAGGACCCATTCTGACTCTTCCCTTCCTCAGCCCAAGCCCTGCAACCCAAAAGTGACCACCTAACCCTGGAGCCTGAAGCCCAAGGACTTGGCTGGCTCCCAATATCAAGAATCTTAAATTAACCACTATCTCTTGAACAATAACCAGCCACCCCGGCACTTACGGCGGGCTCCCTGTGTGTTCACCTTCCAGTTACCACATTTCCCACTCTCACTTCAAAGCCACCAATTCCTCCACTGCCCACAGCCTACAACAGTTCCTCCTCTTTCCCCAGGGCCAACGGACCAACTTCTATAAAGCCAGGGCCACTCTGATCCCTCTCTTCGCAGGCTCCAACCCAGCAAGACTGACAGATTTCTCCAGCAGAAAAATGGACTCAACTCTGCTCCATCTCCAGAGAGACTTGCCACCTTCCCAGCCCGACCAGTACAACAGACTCTTGCAGCTGCCCTTTTAGTTCCAACACTGACCTGCCCCTCTCCAGGGGACCTATGATCCAGGGACTTGCTCCTCTCCCACCACCTCAAGCCACCAAACTTCTTCAATGCTCTCACCTTCCAGCAACTCCAATTCCCCAACTCTTAGGAAAAAAAGAGAGAGAGACCTTTCTAGAGCCAGGCCCCAAAGTTCCTCTGCTCCTGAGTGACTGACAATGTTTTGTTTCCCTTTTTCCAGAGAGGAAGAGGAGGCATGAGTGACTTTTCTCCTTCTTAACGCCAAGATCTAAGACCTCCTCTGAGCGTCTCACCTACCCCAAATCGACCACCAACTCTGCTCCTTTTCTGCGAGTGTTTTTTACCCTGACTCCCTTTTCCGAACCCCAGGATCCACCGTCTCCTCTACAGCCACAGTCCGGGTTTATTCCTCTTCCTCGTTTCAGCCAAGAAAGTGACCAACACGACCACCCGTCGCCCCAAGGCTTGGAGACGAGAAACTTAACCTCTTTCCATCCCCATGGGCCCATCAAACTTCTCAACTGCCCTTTCGGGGCCAATGTTGACCCCTTCTTCCTTCCCTGGCTACTTTCTCTATTCTTCTCTAGGGGAACTGTGAACTCGAAGGCTACCGCCCTCCCAAGCCACCAAACTTTCTTTAATTGCTCATCGTTTTAATGTCTAAAACGATCACCTTCAGCGGCCCTCGGGCCGGGGAGGAGAGGGCAGTGGGCATAAACCAACTACTTTTCACCTTCCCAACCCAACAGCCACCCCCTCTCCAACACCCTCTAGCTCTAAACTGACGACTGTCTCCTTAAATCATCATCAGGTGCAACTTATTGAACGCCACCCCTGTGCCGGGCGCTGCACCGACGCCCGGGTCCCCATCCAGCCCGCCCCCGCGCCCCGGCCGCAGCTACCGTGTCTCCAGGGGTCTTTGGGCTCCACCGCTCCGGACACGATATCCTCGTCCGAGGGGAACGTGACGCGCTTGGCCACAGCCTTGAGGCGCCCGTCGGCGGGGGGCGACGCGGGGCTGGGAGACCGGGCCTCGGCGGGGGCCTCCTCGGCGTCGCCGTCCGCGCCCGGCCCGGGCGGCGCCTCCTGCGGCGGGGTCTCCATCGCCGCCGCCGCCGCCACCTCCTCACGGGGGCCCCGGGGACATGCCCCGGGCCCCGGACTTGTCTCTCCGGGCCCGCCCGCCGTCCCGGGGCATGGGCTCCGCCGCCGCTTCAGGCGCCGCCTCCGTTCGCTCTCCTGGTCGTCGTAGTCGTCGCCGCCGGGAGCCCGAGCGCGCCTCCCCCGAGCCCCGCGCGCGCCTGCTCGTTCGCAGCCGCACTTTCGTGAAGGGCCGGCGAGCCCGCCGCGTACTAAGGAGAGCAGAAAATCAATTTAAGCCATTTGCAGGTAGAGGTGTCTCGCAGGTGGTTGAAGGGGGGAACAAAAGGTAGAAAGACCCACGAGAAAAAGAAACGTGCGCAGTGAATCTGCGAGGCCGAAACTGCAGCATGTGAGGGGCGGGGCGAGGTGGACGCCGTCTCCCAGAGCAGCGCGCAGGCGCGAACCCGAGCCGCCCCCACCCCGCCTCCCCACCTCTATCTAAATAACTGATGTTCATGCTCGCACACATTCGTCACGAGCTCAGACGAGGGAGAAGGGAGTGGGGTTGATAGAAATAACGTCTCCTTGGCGGGGCCAGGCCAACTGATAAGGAGAGAGGCAAAGGGATGGAGAACTTGAAAGGAAAGGCGATAGGACCTGTGTTCAATGTATGAGTACAGGTGACGGATGCCCAGAGGGATCCTCTGCCTGGAGGCGAAGCCTATGCCCCCTTGCTAGTTATTCTCTAGCCTTCCATTTGCAGTTTCATCAGTATTTCTCTGTATGTGGATAGCGTCGCATAAAATATAATTTAAATTTAAAAAATAAAATAAATAGGAGCCCATGAGAAGTATCAGAGCCCTGATGAAAAATAAAAAAGTGGGAGAAGGAAGAATTTCCAACAGCAAGAGACGAATCTGCCAACCTAAATACCAGTGGGCAGGTAGATCGCCAAGCCGGGAGCGAACCGGCACGCGCTCAAGCCACGCCCCCAGGGCTCAAGTCAATCGCTTAACATTCGCCTCCGCACTTTCGCTAGCCTTGCCCAACCCATCCAGCAACTTAGGGGGAAGGGCGTGGCTAAAACCAAAAAAGGAGACTTGGGGAGGAGCAAGCGACGTCGTTGCCAAGGCAACTTGAGAGCTAGGCCCGGGACTTGCCAGAGGTGGCCTTGTGAACGGTCTTGGGGAAGCCGAGGCTCTCCGCTTGCCTCATTCAACATCATTGGCCGCCACACTTTCGCGACTGAAGACGGACGAAGCCAATCTCATCTATACTTAGTGGGAGCATCACTTCCACTCTGAAGCTGATGGGACTACCAAGGGGGCAGAAGTTACTTCTTTAAAGCGAATCTGCTGATAGACTACCAGTGGCGGGGATAAGTGACGCGAGTGACATGGAGGGTCACGCCTCACTGGAGCGACATGGAGAAGGGGTGAAGCTTCACGCTGACCCCGAATCCTCAGCCTTTTCTCAGTGTCGCCGCGGCGCAGGGTCCGACCCTTCCCGCATGGGCGGGGCGGCGAACCCGCGGTCTCAGGTGTGCGCGCCACACCACCCAGACGCGGGCGGGGGGAGGAGCCGACGGCGTCACCCAGCACCAGCCACGTCCCTCGCAGTGTCCTCCCCCCACCCGAGAATCCGAGACCAGATCTCCCAGGCCCGGCAGCCAGGTCGCTCCAGCCATTCCCGGAGACTAGGGGCGATCCACTCCCCGCGCCTTTATCCGAGTTCCTCCCAGACCCTGACGTGTCCTCCCCTTCTTGGCCGAGCTCCACCGATCCAGCCCTTGGAGAGCCACCCTTCCACCCCCTAAATCTGGCTCCATCCCTGAGTGGTACGCTTAAAAAAAAACCAGGGGGCGAATTTTCCTAGGAAAATTGGTTCTTGGGCAGGAGGGGAGTATTGAGGAGTATCTTCAGGGTGTCTGAACTTTGCAACTTCTTTAATCAACAGTTAACCACTCTGCGATTTGCCTTGCCTTATTCCCCTCTCCCCCGCCCCACTCTTCAGGAACTGGCAGGAGGCCCATATTTCTGTCGAGCTTAGAGTTCTGCGAGGTAGAGCTTTCCTTTCAACACGATCTGGAACTCCTGGTGCAGAATTTTACTGACTAGACCCTGGAGGTTCCAAGGAGCCGGAGTTGCTTGGAGCTTGGCTCAAAATAACCAAGGAGTTCCGAACTCTATGGGGCCCAGAGTTCTGGGCTCAGGAACATTCGGAGGGCCGGGATCCTGTGGCCAGGCCTCAGGCAGAACATCATAGTGTCTTTACGGCTTGAAGGTGTATGCAATGATGTCACTACAGCGGAGCAGCGCCTCGGCCTGCACACCTATCGGAGTCTGCAGCTGCGAAACGTAGAAGTTGGCCACGTCCAGGTCGGTGGCCCCAAAGTAAGCAGTCACGTGCACGCCCTCGTGCAATGTGAAGCTCACAGGGCGGCCCACCATGGCCAGCAGGCTGCGGAGGTAGCGTTCCCGAAGGGCTGCTCGGGCCCGCTGTTCCTGGGATTCCTGAGATTCTTGAACCATGGGAGACTCCGGGGTTCCAGGAACCTCTGGCTTCAGGGGGGCCCTGCGTCCGCCGGGGGCAAAGCCTCGGCTCCAGCCATCAGGACCCCGGGGGAGCCGGAGCACAGGCACGGGAATGGTCAGCGGAGTCTGCATTGTCCTGGCTGTTGGGTGAAGAAGAGCAGGGAGCCGTTACGTGGGGAGCGTGGGACTGAGGGAGGAGAGAGGACTGGGAGCACAGGCTTGTCTACCGCATCTCAGCTTCACCTGCCGAAACCCCACTCCTGATTCCCCCTCTTCAACTCTGCGCCAGCCCTCTGCCAGTCCCCCCTTCCCAGGAACGGGCACCACGGTTCTCGAGGTCCAGGAGAGCAGGGACTTCTGACTGCCTTCATCACAGCTTCATCCCCAGTCCCTGGCAATAAATATTTGCTGAACGAATAAACCCCAGCCTCTTCTCCTCTCTCACACACTGCCTATCCAATCCATCAAGAAATGCCAGCTTCCAGATAAATTCCTAACCACACAGGGGCCAGCTGGAAAGGGCTCCCACTGGCAAAGTCTGGAACGATTGAACATTAAAATAATGATAGTTACAGACTGAATAAAATAGAAATCCAGGAGTCCACACTAATTATAAATAAATCAATGAATAAGTAAGTAAAGGGGAGAAGGGAAATTCTTCCTTACTGTAGAACGGCAGCTAAAACCATCAATGGATGCTAAAACTTGTGGATGAAGGTCTGATGAGGTCCAGGACATCTACATAGTCTTACAGTACCTCCTCACAAGATATTTATTCATTGTGAAGAGTGAACAGTAACTTTATGGTGGAGAAACCCACCTTAACTTAGGCATCAAAGCCAACGTGTACAGTCATGGGACAAACAGACACCAGGTGCCTCCTGATGGGATGACAGGGCACCGTTTCTGTGGTATTCCTGCCCAAAATGGATTACCTGAATCTAATCATGGGGAAACTCAAATTGAGGGACATTCCACAGGAAAATTACCCTGGGTTCTTCCAAAATATCAAAGTCAGGGGCCAGCCCAGTGGTGCAGTGGTTAAGTTCACGTGCTCCACTTCAGTGGCCCGGGGTTCACAGGTTCGGATCCTGGTTATGGACCTACACACCGCTTATCAAGCCATGCTGTGGCAGCATCCCACATATAAAGTAGAGGAAGATGGGCACGGCTGTTAGCCCAGGGCCAATCCTCCTCAGCAAAAAGAGGACTACTGGCAACAGATTTTAGCTCAGGGCTAATCTTCCTCACCAAAAAAAAAATCGAAGTCATAAAAGACAAAGAAAGGCTGAGGGGGGACATACATATATATTTATTCATTCACAACCTAACACTTCTCACCCTTTCCACTGCCAACATCTTGGTTCAGGAACCATCACTTCGTGCCTCGCCTTCACCCCCTAACCGCCGCCAGTCTGTCCCCACACACAGCCAGAGGACCTGGTAGGACTCGAGTTAGATCGCATGCCTCCCTGCTCAGAGCCCTCCCTGGCTTCCATCCCGCTCAGAGTCAAGGCAAAGTCCTCAGCACAGCTCTCAAGGCCCTGCAGGCTCTGAACCTGCCCTCGTGGCGCACCACGCTGCTCTCTCCACCCCAGACACACTGGCCTCCTCGTGGGTCCTCGAGCTCGCCTGGCACTGCCCCTTCTCAGGCCCTTGCACTTGCTGTTCCCTCTGCCTCTATCTCCTTTCCCTTTCCCTGACCACCCTGTCTTAGAGATCTACCCCTCAGCTCCCGCCACCCACTCGGTCGGCTTCGTCATTCTTTGCAGCACGCTTGTCTCCCAGACATGATTGTGTATATTTACTGTTCTGCTGATGGTCTTTCTCCCCGGCAGGACGCTGCCTCCCCACAGGCACGACCTGGCTTTTTCCCCACTGCTGTATCCCCAGCTCCCGGAACACTGAGTGGCACAGAGACCAGGCTTGGGAAATACTGTTCCTGCACCAATGAACCAAGTGAAGATCGAGCTCCAGGCCTGCTGAGCTGGGTGACCCCATCAAGAGCCAGTTTCCTCTTCATTGTGTGGAGAAATGCCACCAACTGCCACCTCTGCTTGTTATCAGGATTCAACAGGCTCGTGGAGGGCAGGACCTGGGACGTACTAGGTTCTCCATAAAGTTAGTTCCTGTTGTTATTATGAGTACGGCTGTGTGACCTGGGGTGAGTTGCTTAACCAGTCTGTGCCTCGGTTTCCTCATCTGTAAAATGGGGATGCTAAGAGGACCAACCTGACAGGGCTGTCACGGGGACTAAATGACACAACAAATAGACACTGTTGAGCGTATGCCTGGAAGACACTGAACACCACTGCAGTGATGTTGATGGCATATAGGGAAACGCTGGCTTGGTGGGTAGGAGGAGAGAGAGAAGGACCTGTTTCAGGAAGCTGCCTCTCTCCCTTGGGCTCAGTCCCCTCCTCTCTAAAGGGATTAACTGAAGTGACTGACAAGTGTTAGGCACCCAGTCTCCCATGCTGGGATGAGGGGGACTGAGATTGTCTTTTTTCTTGTTAGGCTCTTCCTGTCTTTCCAGCTCCACTGTGAGCTTCTTGCTAGAAAAGTCCCTGCAGGGAGATGGGCCACGGCTGCAAACCAGGGCTTCTCAACCTCGACGCTAGTGACATTGGGGCTGGATCATCCTTTGTCGCGTGTGGGGGCTGTCCTGTGTAGAGCTGCGGGATGTTAGCAGCATCCCCGGCCTCTACCCACTAGATGCTGGTAGCGTCCCCCACCCCCACCCCTCACTGTCACAACCAAAGACGTCTCCGAGAACAGTATGGGAGGAGAATTAGATCTCAGTAAAGCCATTTAAAAAAAAAAAAACTCTCCATATATTGCCACGTGTCCCCTGGGGGACAAAATAATATCGTCTCTGGTTGAGAACCACTGATGTGGACAAACAGGTGGAGGGAGGGCAAAGACGGCTGGTGAATGGTGAACATATTCACAGCCTCATCGATCCCCGAAGGGCAGTTTGACAGCATCCAAGAAAACTGCAAATACACAGGTCACTCGGCCCATGAAGACCCCGGGGCCAGAGACTCTGAAAGGTCTACCTTCTGTACCTTCTGAATTCCATACCATGTATTTGTATAACCTATCCAAAATAATTTTAAAATTATAATTTTAAAATGGAAGGGGCACAGGGCCGGCCTGGTGGCATAGCAGTTAAGTTTGTGTGCACTGCTTCGGCGGCCCGGGGTTCGTGGGTTCGGATCCCATGCGCCAATCTACACCACTCATCAGCCATGCTGTGGCGGCGACCCACATATAAAGTAGAGGAAGACTGGCATAGATGTTAGCTTAGGGCTAATCTTCCCCAGCAAAAAAAAAAAAAAAAGGAAGGGGCCTATTGTAACACTTCTATGTCCTTTAACAAATGTTAGATTCCCCCTCAGGACTCTGAACCCCCTCTCCTATCCTTACCATCACTCACTCCCCAGACCTCTTTCTGTCCCCAGCCCAGACCTTTCCCAGCCCCTGTGTAACTAGCTGTCAAGTCCTCCTGATCGGACGCCACCACAGGTGGCCTAAATCGAATCCTTATTAGCAGAATATATGGCAGAGGTCAGCAAATTTCCTCTGTAAAGTGCCCAATCATAAATATTTTAGGCCCCGTGGGCCATAGGGTCTCTGCCACAAATACCCAACTCTTCCATAGTAGCAAGAAAGCAAGTAACCGTGCTCGCTTATTTATTGTGACACTGATGTTTGAACCGTATATAATTTCACATGCCACAAAATTTTTTAAAAGTTTTCCAACCACTTAAAAATGTAAAATCCTCTCGTAGGGCCGGCCCTGTGGCTTGCGGTTAAGTGTGTGTGCTCCGCTGCCGGCGGCCCGGGTTCGGATCCCAGGCGCGCACCAACGCACCGCTTATCAAGCCATGCTGTGGCGGCGTCCCATATAAAGTGGAGGAAGATGGGCACGGATGTTAGCTCAGGGCCAGTGTTCCTCAGCAAAAAGAGGAGGATTGGCATCAGATGTCAGCTCAGGTCTCATCTTCCTCACACAAATAAATAAATATTCTTAAAAAAAAAAAATCCTCTCTTAGCTCATGGGCCATACAAGAACAGGTGGCAGGCCACAGCTCCCACCAGGCAGAGAGGATGGGGGCATGGGCTGGGGAGAGCAGGGGGTCCCAGCCCTTCTGGATCCACTACATGGATCTGGGCAGGTCACTGCCACTCTGCGAGCAGCGTCCTCGCTCTGGGTCCTCATCTGTGACATGAGGCATAAGAAAAGACTCCTAGGGTTGTCGGGAGAATCTTTTGGGGGGGGGGTTGGTGATCACACAGGCAAAGGACACCCCACAGTGTCCTGGACTCTGACTTTCTCTCCCACACACAGCCAATCCATCAGTAAAGCTTGTCAGCTCCACCTTCGAAGACACATCCAGAATCCGGCAACTCCTCACCGCCTCCACTCTGCCCCTTCCTCGGTCCAGCCACCATCACCTTCCATCTGGACTACTGCAATCACCTCTCCCTGGGCCCCAGACCTCCACCTTCACCCTACAGTCTGTTCCCCAGACGGCTATCAGAGGGATCCTGCTAGAACTAAGTCTGATCACGTCCCTCCTCTGCTCAGAGCCCTCCCATGGCTCCCACCTCACCCAGAGCAAAAGCCAAAGTCCTCACAATGGTTACAAGGCCCTATCACCTCTCTGACCTCATCTCCCACCCCTCTACCCTTTGCTCTCTGTTATAAGTCCTTGAACATGCCAAGTACCTTCCTGCCCCAGGGCCTTTGCACTTCCTGTTCTGTCTGGAACCCTCTTCCAGATGGGAGACATATATATATATTTCCAGACACATGGGTCACCTTTTTCCCTCACTTCACTCAGGTTGCTGCTCAAATATCACCTTAGTAGGGAGGGAAGCGGGAGCCTCTCCACCTGCATTATCTTTTGTTCATAGCACGATCTCCTCCTGACAGTATGCACTGACTTGTTCACCTCTGTGCTGTCTGTTCTGCCACAGAATGTAAAGCTTTAAGAGAGGCCAAGTCTGATCACTTATAACTCCACCCCCAGCCCCACTTAGGGCCTGGTCAACAGGGGGATTCCAGAAATATTTGTTGAAGGAATGTAAAGATTCACCCATCCACATTATCAACACACATTATCCGAGTGCC